AATAACCAACCCCCTGTTTTTCCTCTCCCTCTGGCACTAATAACAAACCCCCTCTTTTTCCTCTTCCTCTGGCACTAATAACCAACCCCCTCTTTTTCCTCTCCCTCTGGCACTAATAACCAACCCCCTCTTTTTCCTCTCCCTCTGGCACTAATAACCAACCCCCTCTTTTTCCTCTCCCTCTGGCATTAATAACCAACCCCCTCTTTTTCCACTCCCTCTGGCATTATTTAATAACCAACCCCCTCTTTTTCCCCTCCTTCTGGCATTATTTAATAACCAAGCCCCTCTTTTTCCTCTCCCCCTGACAGCCATCTTCATGTTCCTGGCGTGCGTCATCTTCCCGGCGGGCTGGGACCACCCGATCGTACAGAGGATCTGCGGCACCACGGCGGACGAGTACGAGCTGGGCGAGTGCGGCATCCGCTGGGGCTACATCCTCGCCATCCTGGGCATCTTCGACGCCGCCATTTTGGCCGTGCTGGCTTTCTTCCTGGCCTCCAAGCGGGCCAAGATCGAGATCTACTCCACGGCCGGCACCGTCACCAAGTGTGAGTAGCCTTGATGGTTCTTCTAGTTTTACCAAGACTTTTACTTTTACGGTGCTTGCAACACAAATTGGTCATTGATTGTTTGGGTAAAGAGAAGCACATCGACACAATAATGGTCATTTAGTAAGTATCTACAAGACCGAGATCTACTCCACGGCCGGCACTGTCACCAAGTGTGAGTAGCCTTGATGGTTCTAGTTTTACCAAGACTTTTACAGTGCTTGCAACACAAATATAGGTCATTGATTGTTTGAATAAAGAGAGGCACATCAACACAATAATGGTCATTAAGTATCTCCAAGATTGAGATCTACTGCACAGCCGGCACCGTCACCAACTGTGAGAGGTAGTGGTAGCCTTGGTGGAGCTTTTAGTCATTCCTTTTTTGTTTTTGTTTTACAAGGACCTTTACCGCACCTTCAACTTCAACACAAATAGGTCACTGTTTGTTTGAGTAAAGAGAAGCACATTGGTACAATAATCATCATTCAATGGCTGGAAAAAGTCTGACAGACAGAGATACAAATGAGGGAGCGTAAAGAATTAGGACCTACTAGTAGTGTAGCACCCTCCAACCATCGGCGCGTAGCCTTGTTGATCTTTTTTTTAAAAATGTTACTACTAAGACTTTCAAGGCATTTGCAACACAGATAGATCATATAGGTGCCGAGGACTAGAGGTATTACAAGAGAAGAATTATATACGAAGAAAAAAAGGAGGCGACAGAATAAGGATGACATGTTTGATAGGAAAGAAGGAGCAAACCACACCAAAGCACCCGCCAACCACCCAAAAATAAAATATGTTAGAGGATGGGTGGGTCGTGGTAGCATGATGAAAACATTTGTTAAATTCTGCGGAAGTTTTCTAAAACATTGTGCGTTATGTGTGAAACACTCATTCCAAAGCACCCGCTAACCACCCATAAATAAAATATGTTAGAGGATGGGTGGGTCGTGGTAGCATTATCAAAACATTTGTTAAATTCTGCGCAGGTTTTCTAAAACATTGTGCGTTATGTGTGAAACACTCATTCCAAAGCACCCGCTAACCACCCATAAATAAAATATGTTTGAGGATGGGTGGGTCGTGGTAGCATTATCAAAACATTTGTTAAATTCTGCGCAGGTTTTCTAAAACATTGTGCGTTATGTGTGAAACACTCATTTCAAAACTATACTCTTAGTTATGTAATGAAGAGATCTGCCCTCCGAATTTAACATTTATCTCTTATTGGACTGGATAAAATTGCTGGAAAACCTCCCGAAATGAACCAAGTTCAAGAACATCACATTGGGGATTTGAAGAACCAATGCTATTCCTACCACAATCAAAATTTTCAACAAAAAAAAACAAAAAACTTTTTACAAATTAAAAAGCAAAATAATAAAGCCCAATTCAGTCAAGATATCATGTGTCCTAATAGCACCAATTTTTTAAATAAAAAATTGACAACTGAGCTACACAGCATAATCAAGATTCACTAGAAACTGTGGAAAGAACTTTCCCTGTTTTTAGGCTTATTTGAACCTCAGCTAGACACAAATGTTGGACATTGAGGAAAACAGCAGTTAGTCCTTTGTCAAGACACCGGGCGGACGGAATATCAAAACACATGTAGAGAAAAAACCAAATAGCGGCCACAGGAGCTATTGTGAAGGCATGCAGCCTGTCCATTGAAATGGGCACGCTATAGTATGTATATATAGCATTATTACTTTTAGAACCATGAATTAATTGAATTATGCTATAATACCCAAAACTTCATAAGAAAATTTGAGCTTTTGTATTTGGGAATCCAAAATGGGTTTTTTTTTTAATTTCATAATAAAAGACCTATTTTTTTTAGCTAATACTTTGTTTAGTAAAGATCAAGCTAGCAGAAAGATAATTTCACATTTGGTCACTACCTAAAGTCAGCCATGTCACACTTCACTTCTCCCTTCTCCCGTAACAAAAATTATTGTGAAGCGTGAAATGTTTTCAACCTTAGCCTACTTATATTACATCTAAAACATTTCCCTTCTTGCCTCAACAGCTGAATTGAACGGCTACTCTGAAACTGTGTCCAAGAAGTCGATACCCATCCAGCCCCAGGTGGTGGCCGTACCTGCCGAGGGTGACCACGACAGATACAGCGAGTTCTCCCGTCATTCCGACAGGCCCAGATCTCGTGGAGGATTCCAGCTATAGACAACTGACAAAATTCTGACTGGAAAAGTTCAAAAACTGAAGCGTGCGTAACAAACATGATCAGCAAAAACAGTAACCGAAGAAAGAAATCATGGACCCCTTATAATCCATAATTAAATTCTCTGGGAGAATGAGATGAAACAAACAACTTTATCCTCATTAAATCCAGATCAATATGCCCCAGGGTGGATAAACTTTTGATTGTCACAATGAGTCAGACAATGACAAAATATATAATTTTTGTGGGATAACTTTAAAGGCAAAAATGAAATTAAAATATAGCTATGAAGTAGAATATAGTTATCTTGAATTAAGGAGATCATGTTCACTTCTGGGTTATGTGTCATATAATATACATTTGAATTTGCCTTCAAAGGCAAAGAGAAAAAAGAAATGTCTTCAACAATATATAATGCTGTAGTACTTGCAATAGTTATTTACATTATGAAAGTGATTCAGGTGTATACTCCATTTTAAATGATAAAATCATTCCAGAATTGATGTACATAAAATCTATTTGTCAGAAAAAACATCTAACAAACTGACGATATATTACCAGTCATTTGGGGTATCAATGTGCCTTTTCTGTATCTGTATATAATACCATACTTCCCACAATTTCTTCATAGAGACTTTCTCTCTTATTTCCTAGTAAACATGTTCACATCTCGATTAAAAATGGAAATATCACATTTGAAATTGATAGTGTAAGAAGAATTAGTCAAAATTACAGTAAAAGAATGTAAATACAATTTTGAATAACAATCTAAAAAAATTTAGCTCTCTAAGTGGTCCCTAAACAAAATAGTTTGGCAAGTACGTTTACAATCAACATTACCAGAAGTGCCAATGAGCACGTTAGTGTAGTGGTATTTTCTCTACGGTGAAAGGTTGCATCGTACAGGAAACAATGTGACAGAAAAGAAAATACTATAAATATCTTAGAGATCTATCAAACACCTTGCATTTTGTGTGCTTTAACTTCGTGTGTTATTGTGAATGCCAGAGTGAGCAAGACGATCGTAGGCAGATCAGGAACCCAAGAAGCAATTATCTCGCAATTAGAGGGAGGCCCTAGACAAGTTACTTTTCAAAAACAGGAACGATGGAAACGTATTCTTATGGTTTACTTTACATAAATTGCACAATAAAAATCCAGTCATTTTGCAAGAAATTTATATTTCCACCAGTATTTCAAATGAATTAAACTGTGACAGCAAATGTTGCTTAATTGTTTTGTTGTTTCTATTTGTATAACAGGCTATGCAGCATTTTTTGCTTTATCTTTTTAAAAAAAGGGTACATTTTCTGCCTGCTCAGAATAAAGTGACTGATATGAGAAGTCTTATGCTCTCAAAAATAAAGTTCTCCTTAATCGGTGTGCGCGTGTGTATGTGTGAGAGTGTTTTGTGCTGCATAGATGTACATACTACACTTCTGTCAGGAAAAAAAAAATTATATTTCTCCCACTCTACATATCTCTGCCTTTTCTTCTCTTTGGCCTAAAGAAATCTGATGTCTCAATCCAGAACACTTTCATTGCCACGACCTATTTATGAAATCTATGCTGCTGTTAGATGTCATTAAGCAAAGTAACAAAATTATTTATCTGTTTTAAACATTGTATATTCCCATTAAACATGTTTTTGGTACAAAAGCTTGTTGTATGCATAGTTTTTTCTCCATTTCATGAAATGCACACAAAATCTATTTTAACTATATTCTTGAACAAGGCACTTGAGTGCATTCAGTGTCATTTCACTTGTGGTCTAAAAAATACTAATTATATTATAATTTTTATTTTTTTTGGTAAGTCTTTTACGGCGCTCGGAACTGCATAAGGTCATATGAGCGCACGGGACACACTAAACATTTTATTTTTCAGTCAGTAGGAAATTTTTTATTTGGCCCGGGTGGCGGCCGAAGCCTATTCTTTTAGATTTTGGACCACCAAGGGATCTTTAAAGCGCTCAACTTGCACACGGGACCTCCGAGATTTTTCGCCCTTGTCCGAGAAGGCTAGGTGTAGAGCTTTCCTACCAGAAGATCAGGGGTGTCGTTGAAAGACAGCAGTAAGATTAGTAAGAAAGAGCCTAGGAGAAGCAGTAGAAAGGCTGCAGAAAGAGTCAGTAGTATTCCATGAACAAAGTGCTATTTCTTTAAAAACTAAACTCTTCATCTCAAACCTTTTCCATACCCCACCAGTGCACTTTCACTAGTGGAGTGCCCTTTACATTTGAGAGAGAGCCTAAAATGCTGAGAATTATTATCCTTAGTCAAATACGTTTGAAAACAGATCTGTCCAAGACTGGTGTCAGTGGTGAAGTGGTTAGTAGTGCTGTGTGCTACACGATATTTTACCTTGAGCGAGCGCTCTGCCTCACATACTACTCGAGCGCTACGGTTTAACGCTATTTCTAGTCAAGGGGTACTACTCATTGGAAGGGACGAGCATCAAGGGAAGCATTCATATCAACTACAGTAATGTAAAGGATGGGGGGGGGGGGGGGGGGGGGTTCCATTGGATCTCCAAAAGGGACTATATTTGCAACAGCCTCTGGATTTTCTTTTTTGGATTGTTTTTTTTTTTAAGCAGCTATTCATTGATATTTATTCATTCTTTTATTTATTTTGTGTTTCAATTCCATCTATTCAAAAAGAATATACATACAAACGTACTACTTTGACTTTGGTAGGGAACCTTTATTTCAGTGCAAAAACAGAGGCTCTTTCCTACTGCCATGACTGACTACACACACTACACACATGCATACTGACTTCTTACTGCTTAACAGGAACCAAAACGAGTTATGTTTTAGTAAGGTTTTATGGCACTCGCAACTGCATATATGGTCATATGAGTGCCAAGGGGTGAATGTCAACAGAGAAGTCCAAACAGGGAATCAGGCTTGCCTCAACAGCACAAAGTCTGCTTCGACTATCAAGGCACACCGGAAATAGCAGTTCACAAGAGAGTGACAAACATATACAAAAGTAGCAGAGGCAAAGTGGCGACAGTGAGGAAGGATGAGGAAAGAAAAAGCAGCGGTTCCCCCTATGTTGTTCCAGCACAGTATGAGCATGACATTGATAAATCAGCCCATTTACAATGCTACTGTGCATAACATATTAATACCCCCCCCTTTGGTGCCCAACACACAACTTTAAAAGTAACCTTATTAACTGGCTAACCCAAAGAGAGTAGCTCTCGGAAAATATACGTTTTGATATCATTGCTTCTGTTCAATAATGAAATAAAAATAAAAACCAAGCAACTTTCCCCACTGTCCCAGTCCCAACCCCCTTACTGTGCTGCAACAGGTACGCGGCACCTTGACGTAACATTAAAGTTAAGTGGCAGGAGGGGAGGAGAGATATATATGGAGGGAAGGGAGAACAAAAACAGTACCACTTTGAAAACGTTTCTTTCATAGGGAGGAGACAGAGACACTGTTGAAACACCACTCTTGCACAGAAACTGATGGTTACGGTTCTACTCAAGCGGCAGTGTACTGTGCGCTATCAGTATTGCTCAAGCAGGGTGCCGCTTGCGAGTTAACGTTTGAGTGCGCTCGACACAGCACAAGATAGTGGTTAGGCACTTCGCTATCTCACGCAGAAGACCCAAGTTCAACTTTTTTTTTAGTAGAGGTTTTACGGCGCTCGCAACTGCATAAGGTCAAATGAGCGCCAGAAGATTAGAGCTGTTACAAGAGAGTAAAAAACATAAAAAAGATGAAGGGGAGAAAAGGACGATAGATGTTTGATAGGAAAGAAGAAGCAAACCACACCAGAGCACCCGCCAACCACCCACTAGGTTCAACTTTGAAGTGGATAACATTTTTATCAAGTATCTAGTCACTTACAAGTAGAAAAATACAGGACAACAGTAACAGCGGAGAGGTAAAAATGAGTAATCTGAGCATTCAGATCAAATTAAAACGAATCTACTGTCGTCATCGAGGCTAGAAAAATTAGCCTAGTAGTTTAGTTAGGAAGTAGGCTAGGCCTAGGGGGTCATACTAAAATGAGAAAAGACGTGAAAAGACACCTGATTTGTGTTCGTTCAGACTTCAGACTCATTTTCAGAGTAACTTTGATCAAAATTGGGGTAATCCTTACCATCTACGGTCCCTACAAGTTTGCTTGTACTCCGCCATGATGAACACCCGAGACTTCCGGATGAATGCCAGATATGCGCATGACGTCCTTTTGATATTTCATTTTCTTTTTTGTCGTCTTACAATTATTATTAGTAAATGATTAATCATGTAATTACTCTGTGATAGGACTTTCCTTACTTCATGGCGCTGGGTACCACTGTGACAAGTGGAAAATTATTACGTTGTTAATCCTGGTCCTGCGGGAGCCGGGTTTATGTTCCCTAAAGCGTATTTCAGCACCTTGCCTTCCATGCAGTCCCGAGTCAGACCGGCAATGACTCGCGCTGAACATCATTCGCGCCATGACTGGGTCCCGTATTCCCGCAGCGCGAGTGTGTGTGCGTCAGTCTGCTTGAGTTTGTGTGTGTTTGTGGCCTACTTCTAGAACCGCCTGCATAGGTTCGTAACCGAGGCATACATCTCAAAACACGCCAAGTTGGTAGCTCTATATGTTCGTCATATGAAATTAGAACAAACTGACCCACTTAGGCTACGCACGGTGCTCGCATCTGCATCATAGGGTCATAATAATAATATGAGCGCGTGGGACACCCTCCCAATTAGGACTGCGTATCTTTCACAATTTAGTATACGTAATCCTAGGGCCTAAATAAAATAGCCTTCCAAAATAACTATAATGGAAATTATGACTTTTAATCTGTTTACAGCATTCAGATGCTGTTGATATAGAATTTATAACGTGATAATTATTTAGGTATGGGCACAATCAGCCATGGGCAATGAACATAGATAGGTGGTGTTGGTGACTAGTGCGACGGTGAAGACAGTTAAAGTGAAGACAAAATAATAGAGATAAGATTTAGGTAAATTTTTACTTTCACTCCCGCACACAGATGTACCGCTTCAGGGGTCAAACTACAGTATTGTTTGCGGCAGATCATCCATAAAGCTACCAAAACTGTTGCAAAACAATCATTTTCAAGAAAATTTCAAACCAAACTGTAAAATATCAAATTATGGGTAAAAACAGGGGGGCCTCCAGATTGTTTTTGCCTAGGCAGGCCCCCTGAACCCCCCCCCCCCTCCTCCTGAAAGAAACCCCGTTCTAGATCTAGAAATCTAGTGCTCTAAAAGAAAAATCAAATATTTCGAAACAAAGTTTATACGTACACAGTAACCTGGCACGTAGTCTCAGAGTCTACGTACACGGTAACCAGAAGGTCCACCCTCGTTCTTCACATTAGTATCATGTTGTGCGACTCGCCAGGTTGTGTGTGCACTGTGCGAACTCCGACATTCTCCGATTGAGTATTGTGTCATGTGAGGCCATGATGTTTGACAATGGCCATTTCAGCTGCCTTTTTTTCTCTATCCAAGTTCATTGTCATAGACACCTTGTCCAGATGCATGACTACTCCATCTGACCCCTACAGTGGGACTTTATCGGAATCCCGTATTTTCTATGTAAACTTAATTACTTATGCTTGGGTATAGCGGATAGCTGGGCAAGGAAAGTCCCGAATTTGGATACAGCGGGAGAGATCGAGCGAGCTGTATCTGAGGCTGGGGGAAGGGGGTTAGGCGATGGGGTGGCTGTAGGTGGGCTCCAAACAGGCAGTCAGCGGAGGGGCGCTGAGATTGGCTAGTCCAGAGATGAGTGAGGTGGGGGCGAAGCAGTTACCGTGCACCTAGCTCAAGGAGCCGTGCCCTTTGACCCACGACCCTGACACTTTTAGTTTGAGGCTAATTGGTCAATCTAATCACGTGGTCCACTATTCTTACTAATTATGCTCGCGACTCTGCTAGGCCAGGCCTAGGCCACCCCTGGCCCAGCAAAGTACAATGGAGGGCGAGAGATGCGCACGAGAGCTCATTTGCATAACTGCAACCCCCTCAGTCCTGCTCGCGACTTGGCGAGTGGTGCGAAGCAAGGTTCGGCCTGTACCAACTCTAATTATCCCGATTGTCCACTAAGCTCCATGGTCCGCTCATTTATAGTTTCGCATTTATGTGTGTGTTATTAAATTATTGTTGCCAGGGGCTAACCCCCCTGAAACCCCCCCCACTGTTGTTATATGTGAGGCAGCGTGGTGGAATCAGGCTCTCGTCAATTTTTGGACATGTGTATGTAGAGTTATTGATATCAACTGAAAGCTTGTTCACTTGTCTTTATTTGGATAAAAAAATATCCATTTATCTTGAATACAAGTCGAGATATTTGCGAATGAAGGAGGTGGGGGTCACCTGTTTTCAGAAGTAAAATTAGTGAGAAAATGGCCGCCAAAGATGTTATTTCCTTAGCTTAACTCTTATCCTGCGTCTGTGCCCAGATGCGTATCTTATCAGCAACCGATTACGTCGGACTCGCCGGGCAGGCCGCCGAGGTCACTCAGTGTGTACTGTTGATGTACAGCTCGCGCGCCGGGAAACGTGTGTTTTCGCCATGAATACCGCGGGAGTGTGTTAACTGATGATGAAAATAACGCTCTATCCTTCATAGCATTCTATTTATAAAGTGTTACAAACACATGAATAACCCCCTCTCACAAGCTGATAAGACATTACGAGTAGTTACGCCCATTTGAATAACCTTTCTGGACGCTCTTGTTGTTAATAATGACCTGAGGTTCGAAAAGGGATAATTTAGGTCAATTTCCGAATGTTTTACACTCAAATTGTTCTTTGTACCTGCACAAGGGTATTCAAAACTATTAAACAAGCTCATTTTTTATCAGGTAGTATCATTTCATACAAAATCAAGCTCATTTGAAATATTTTGTATAGAAAAATGGAAGTCTTGTTTCCTGACTATCCTTTCGAGCTCCTCATGTCTAAGTGGGTCAATTTCTTCTATAATTTCATTGGACGAACATCTAGAGCTATCAACTTGGCATATTTTGAATGAGACGTATGCCTCGATTACGAACCAACGCAGGTGGTTCTAGAAGAAGGCCACAAACGCACACAAACTCAAGCAGACTGACGCACACACACTTGACCTGCGTGATGGGGATCCGACTCGGGACCCGAATGACACGTAAGAGGATGCGCGCTGCGCGTGCACTGAACCAGGAGCTACACTGACTCGGGACCAGAACGCAGGCGAGGTGCCGAAACAGGCTTATCGGGCTACATAAACCCGGCTCCCGCAGGATGAGGGTTAAGAGTCCGTGGTAACTGAAAAGTTACATTTTTTGTGCCTTTTATCAACGTTTTTCAGAAAAATCCACACAGAAATAATTTCTTATTGGGCATGAAAGGTGTTGAGCCAAAAAACAAAAATTTGATTAAAGTTCACAAACCTGCGGAAAATGCAGGTTTCTTCTCTTTAATTATTTTGACGAGAGCCTGATTCCACCACGCTGCCTCACATATTGATATGTAAACACGATTGTCCGCTCATGTTATTGTTTAGCATTTATGTGTTTTCTTTATAAATATTGTTTCCAATTCCAGCACCCCTGGACCCCCCCACCCCACCCCACCCCACCCCCCCACTGTTGGTATGATACACGGTGGGTCCACCAAAGTTAAATCGCTTACTAATCCTCAACCACCACATCTCGCTCACCTCGCCTCGCCGCTGGCTTGCGTTCTCTGAGCGAAGTCGCCCGCAGAACTAGCCTACCTTTTCAATTTGTCCGCACATAGAGAACTATATGAGTGCGTGGCGTAGATCAAGTTAGGCTAGGGCAAGGCGTATAGTATGTAGTAATCACAGGCCCAGACGGGTGGTCTGGTAAAGTACAATCCAGCCTAGTAGTAGTAGTTGTGTAAGATGGGAGTGAAAGTAAAAGAATACCAAGCTATGAAAACAACTCGAGAAGTTCAAGACCAAGATGTCAGATGAAAACACTGAAAGAGCAACACAAGGCAAGGCCCCATCGGCCTTCACTGCACATGGAGTTCAACCCCCACCACCACATAAAAAACCAACTGCTAACCACACACACATTACAGAAAACATTCTCACCGCTTAGGGAGACAACAGCCTGCTAGAGTTCAAAATAGGCCAACTAAACAGCAGTCTCTCCAGCTGTGGCACCCGCCATTTCAGAGTTAACTCCTGTCGCCTGTCACCATCAGCAAGAGTAGCTTCCCTTGGTAAGGGGTGTAACTATGAAAATCCATAGAATCTATTCCTTTTTTAAAAGCATTATCGCTCTTTGACCGTTTCTTTTATTGCGTCACGTTTCCAGGGAGGCAATAGATAAAATGTGTCAGATTAATTCTATTAAGAATTGTCATTGTTATTTCCCACTAAAAAGTAGGCCTTCACCAAGGACCTAAGAACACAGTCATGCTATAACCTCCTCTCCTCGGCCTACACGGACACTCATACGAGGGGCATACCAAAATTGTTTTACCTGACTATGAAGGAATAAAGGTAAAAAGCTGAAATTTCAGGTGAAAGCCAACAGTCATCTTCCTAGAATGCGTGTAAATTTGGGGGAATTTCCGATGACTGGTTTTAACACCAGCGCACTGTAAGTGAATGAGGGTATGTTGTTCTATAGTCTCTAGCAAAGATAGTACATAGTTTCAACATAAAAATGAAGAAAATTGAGTACAGGTCAATAATGAAGTTTTTGTTCTAACAAGGCGAGCAAGTAGCTAAATTTTGCCACACCCACCCTATTCTCCAGATTTAGCTCCGTCCTACTTTTTTAAATTTCCCAAGCTGAAAAGGGATGTAAAAATAAGGCATTTATTGATGAAGGTCAAAGAAGCGGCAGAGGGCTGGTTTTCAGACAAAGAGAGGGTCTTCTATTCTCAAGGTACATACACCAATCACAAAAATGTATTACCGTGGGAGGTGACTACATAGAGAAATATTAAGCTCAGTGCCAAATCTCAGCTTTCTATTGATCTTTATTCCTTCGTGGTCAGGTAAAAAAAAACTTTTGGTATGCCCCTTGTATAATATTATGTGTATCCGGTTGACCATCCTCCGGTAATGCATGTTTTTAGACCTAAAATTGTTTTGGGAATTGTGTGTGTGTGTGTGTATGTGTGTGTGTGTGTGTGTGTGTGTGTGTGTGTGTGTGTGTGTGTGTGTGTGTGTGTGTGTGTGTGTGTGTGGAAAAGTAGTACGATATAAAAATGAAAGTAAAGTGAGATTTGGGTCAAACTTTGGAAATCAAGATGGTACAATGTCATTTAAGCTGTTCAAATCAGTTCATTGCTTTGTGATTTTAAACATTGAAAGCATTCTTCTCATTGCACTAAGGTTAGAACTTTGTTGGGGAGGGAGGGGAGACAAGTTTGGTTAATGTTGCTTTCTTCATTTTGCAGTAGGATTCAATATTGATAATAGGCTTAGGCCTACATCATCATCATCATCATCATCATCATCATCATCATCATCATCATCATCATCATCATCATCATCGTAAACAGCAGACATTTTTTCTAAAGGGTTGAGAC